CGCCAACTACGGGTTCTGCGATTCTTGCTGGGCGGAGGAACCATCCCCATGCACAGCCAGGTTTGTACCCTGTGCAATGTAATGGTCAGCAGCGCCACGGTTCTCATGTTACATGTCATTACGGATCTCTGACTGGCCCTGGATGCAGACAGTTTGTATTCAGGGCCAGCTCATCTTCCGGGTTTGTATGAAACCATAGCACAGGACACTGATTGGTCCAGATGTAGAGTTTGGCTGCATCTGAACATTGCAGTCTAGCCACCCATGTAAATGAGGCCTTAGTTTGTTAAAGCTCTGGGTATCATATACAGCTGCCATTTTTGTAATGCTTCGTTACGTCTGCATTAGCTGCGGCCTGAGGATTCTTGTGGCAAGAGCCTGCTGATTCCTGCTGCAGGAATCTCAGCTGGGTCCGTACAGATTCGGTTGGTCTGCCCAAGGCCGGATTTACCCTCTCTGCTGCCCCAAGGCCAGGTTCCTCAATGCGTCCGCCTACCCCTCCCTCCCCCATGGAGAATGGCAGACCTGCAGGTCAAGTAATCTCGGTGACATCGCCGGGATCACTTGTACAAAAAAGTGGCAGCTTCCCCGCTGTACATTTAGCTCTGCTTGCCCAAAGCAGGGCTAAATGTAGAAAACAACTACACGCCCGGAACTACATGTGGAGATAGGAATTCCACACCCCTGCTGCCCCTCTACTCCCTGCTGCCTCAAGGCCGGGCCTTGGTTGGCCTTGTGGGCGACATCTGTGCGGGCCCACCTGGGATTCGTGCCACAAGAATCTGCAAGAATCCTCAGCCGCAGCTAATAGCCCTATGCGCATGAGGCCTAAGAAGAATGTCTGTGCCACTCGCCACTCTTTATGGATTCCACGGACAATTGGCATATAATCACACACATAATCCTATACACGAATAATCATAGTGCTCATTTTCACTGATCCTTCTGTTTCTCATTTCCCCCCCCCTGAATATACTATAAACATAAAATCAATACAGAACACGCATACATAGAAGTCCAACAGCACACTGAAATGACCTAATTAAAGAAGGGTGGTGCTCTATACAGAGGGGCTTCGGCGATGCTACCAGACTGTATTGTACTGCTCTAAGCTTTTAAACGCTGAACTTAATGAAGAGGCATTAAGTCTCCTCAGTTCATGTAGCCATTATGGCATTGTATTTCCAAGGGCTAATTCCAACATACACAGTGAATTTGATCTGCATGTTACTTTAATGTGAGCTCCCTGAGCATCCCATAAACCATGCCATTCCATTTCAGCCTGGTAGTAATGCAGCTGATAGGGTTTAATTGGAGCGTTACATTATGTATATGCTGTGATTAACAGAGCCAGGCTGGGATACAGGATGTCTATGAAAGCGAAGCAGACAGTGGGGTCTTATTGCAAATGACATGCAGGTTGGAGGGACATCATTTATTCAGCTCAGTGTCCTCTCTGCTGCTAGAATGATGTGTCTGTACGTACCCTGGCTGAAACTCTGGAAGACACACTGAATGGTTTTCAGTTCTGGGCACAACAGTGAAAGTCTTGTATGGGGTGTTGTATGCTAAAGAGCCCAGCTGGAAGCCTGCACATAGATCATGGTGTAAATAAATACTGTGTTTTAATATCACTGGTGGTCTGCATATGAATTGCATACATGCAGTGTGCCTAGTTCATATGCAGACCACCCCAACGGTGATATTGTAAGATTATATAAAGCAGTGTCTACATGAAGTATACATATGAAGCAGTTATCAGTGGAGAATCTAATAATATATTGGTAGCAGTCATTTCTAGGTGAGCTCTGCTTTATGTATTTTATAAGATTATTTCCATTACATTTATAAAATAGAATGATTCTGGGAGTATGGGATTGCCTTTGGGGATCAGGAAGGAATTCTTTCCCGTTAAAGCAAATTGAATCCGACTTTAAGGGTTTTTCTGGATCAACTGCAGGTGTGTGGTTCCGAGGATGTAAAGTATAGCCCAGATTCACATTGCATTCACACAATACGTCAAAATCGTGCAACACTGTTGCAGTGCCATTACTTGTTAACTCCACCTCAAATGTGGACGCTAAAAAGGTGCGTCGAACACGCACAAAGGCGTGGGAAAGAATGCGGCACACTCGCAGCTGAAAAAGCTGCATGAGCTACTTTGCCGCGTTTCTCACGGGTACGGTATGGGTCACTCGCACTCTGTTTGTAGATAGTAGTCGCACTCTGTTTGTAGATAGTAGTCAATCTCCTTTATTGACTGAACATAATGTCACATAACAAAGCGTTGTTTTGGGACTGGGCAGGCCCTTCTTCGTTTGGGCTCTATCCAGTCAGGAGTGCGATGGGATCTACTACGTTCTGATTCCAACATGCTGTAACACAGCGCCACCAAACATGCTGTAACGCAGCGCCATCCAACATGCTGTGATGCGGCATGATCCAACATGCTGCAACATAGCGCCATCCAACATGCGGTGACGTGGCACGATCCAACATGCTGTAACACAGCGCCATCCAACATGCGGTGACACAGCACCATCCAACATGCTGTAAGGCAGTTCCATGCAATGCATTTCAGCACATCACAATGCGCTGCAGTGCATAACAATCACAGACAAGTTTAAAAAAGCAAGCACCTTTTAACAGCGCATTGCGGTGCACGGCAGCCCACGTTCAGAAGGCACACGTGTGTTACGCTCACCATATCACGCGCTGGGTGGTGTGAATAGGCTCTTAGGCAATCAGATACTCCATGGATCACCAATTTACAGTGTTACACTTTATAAAGTTATATTTTGTGCATTTAGAAACACATCCAGACTTTTCTGTCACTTGGATAGATTACTTCAGTGCACAGCTCCATAGTCTGAAGAGCACTTTGTTTCAGAAGTAAAGAAAAAAAAAGGAAGATAGTTGCAATATGAAATTTTGTGGCCAGGCGGCCAAGTCTGGCAGATGAAATTGATGACTGCAGGACGCAATTTTTCCTAGTGTTCATGTCACCACAGCAGGTTAGAAAACATGAAATGTAGGAAGACAGCCATCAAGCCATTCGGCAGCAGCCCAGTCCTCGGCTCCCCTAGGCTGGAGGTGTAGCGGCGTGATTGACAGCTAGACAGTCCAGCCAAAGTCGTGTGCCCAGCGCGTCCGGGCGTGGTCTATCAGCGCCGCGGCCAATGGGCGGGCGAGTGGGCGGGGTGGAGCGCGTGTAGCTCCCGGGTCCACGTTCTTATGCTCAGTGCTGGCCGCGGCGGACTCAGTGTGTTGCATGGCTCACTCGGGTCTTGGATTGTATCGTTTGGATTATCGCTCCGTACGGTGATCGGTAGTGGAGGAGTCTGGGGAGGCTCTTCTGGTCCCTGCACCGGACGAGGTTGCCTGTGGTCTCTGGGTCTGCATGTCCCCTGCCTTGGATGGTGACACTTTCCTCGCACAGCCCGAGAAGACGTTCAGCGGAGCCGGGGAGAGCAGGGCTTGTCAATGGATCGGCTAATCTCCATCTGGCTACAACTAGAGCTCTGTGCTATGGCCGTTCTCCTCACTAAAGGTGAGTCACACGTCTACCTGCAGCTCTGCGTGCACTTTCCTTAGCACTGTAGGCATGCTTTGTGCCTTTTTTCTGTTTTCCAGGGACGATCTCGGACTTGGAAATTCTCTTTACTGGCGATCTGGGTTTAAGCAGTGGCTAATGATGGATGTTGCAGCATTGTAGATATATTTCTCCTTTTATTGATCACTTCTGCTTATCTCAAATCGCCTATTAAAATGCACTAGAGCCCATGCAGATCTATTCTCCCAGTATTACAGATAGATCTAAGAGTGTTCCTGATTGTAAAATCCTAGTACATGTTAAAACTGCAGAGCCCCAAGTAGGTGAAGTTGTCTTTTAATTCAGGATCTGAACGCTGGCAGACACTAGGGGGCTCCATGTCCATGGGGCCACATCCTTCTTAGTTCTGATGAACTTCCATAGTGTGCTACTTGGATGGGATTTAAAGCAAGTTACTGCAAAGCATCTTGCTACTCTTACCTATAATTGCCTTGTTTTCCCTGCTCAGCCAGGACATTCCCTCACATCTGTGCATGCCAAGATGTTCTGCAGCGGCACTCTGTTTAATTCATTTTACTTTTAGTGATTTAAAACAAAAAACTAGTTTTGTAGCTTGTACATGTAATGTGTTTGTATAAAAGTAAAATCAGTATGTAAGCAGGTTGATTAAAACTTGCTGTAGCCTTCTTTTTTGGTGCATCTGTTATAATACATATGTTGCTCTTTTATGTAGGATTTTGGAGCATATCACTGCCCTGCTGGTCAGTACCAAAGATACAAGATTGCCAGTCCAGGCATCAGTGTAGCCATTGATGCAACTGAGTATACTAGAACGTATAACTGCCCTTCTGGCCAGAACCAGAGCTACCTGATTGCCAGTCCAGGCATGAAGGTTATGCCTGCTGCACTGGAGTCCACTAGAATTTATAACTGTCCTTCTGGTCATAACCAGAGTTGCCAGTCCAGTCATGAGGGTAACCATTGTAGTAATGGGGATGGCCAAATTTAATATGGCATTCAGCAGCCAGGTGTTCCAGTCCAAAAGTGACCCTGCAGTGTTTTTTTTTTAGTAGCCTGTTTGACAACCAGTGAAATCCTCAGGTGCCATCTGCATCTTTTTTTGCAGCATTGGTTA